GTAGCCTCCAATGTTGCTCTTCAGAGGGCACAGCCTTGAGCTTGCTCTGACCTCTCCTTCCCCATCTCTCTCTTTTTCTCTCTCTTTGGGAATTGAACCTAGGGCCTTGCACATGCTAGACAAGTGCTCTACCACTAAGCTATACCCTCAGCTCTCTTTTACTCTGCTTTATGGTTTAGACTTGAGGTGTCCCCCCAAAGCTCATGTGTGAGTCAGTGAAAGAAGGTTCAGAGGTGAAATAATTAGATAATGAGAGTTGTAACCCAGTCAGTGGATTAATCCACTGATAGGGATTAACTGGGTGGTAACTGAAGGCAGGTGGGGTATGGCTAGAGGAGGTGGGTCATTGGAGGTGTGCCTTTGGGGTTTATATTTTGTCCCTGGTGAATAGAGCCCTCCCTCTCTCTCTATTTCTCTCCCCTGTCCCTTCTTTATTGTCATGTCCTGAGTTGCTTTCCTCTGTCACATCTTTCTGCCATGATGTTCTGCCTCGCTTTGGGCTCAGAGCAATGGAATCAGCCATCTATGGACTGGGACCTCTGAAATTGTGAGCCCCAGATAAACTTTACCTCCTCTATGTTGTTCTTATCAGATATTTTGGTCACAGTAGCAAAACAGCTGACTAAAACACTCTTTTTTCTATGATCTCCCTGTTAAGTTTCTGGTTTGCCTGCCTCATACCCAGTTGTTAGCCTACACTAATTATTAGTTGTTTACTCCACTGTTTTCCACAATGACCTGGAGCATAAATTCTTCCACAGTGTAGTACTATTAAATGCTGTCCCACTGTTAGGACAGTCTTTGAGACCTGTTGTTGAGGTTTACTACCAATATCAAGGTGGCTTTTCTTAGCTGCATTCTCTTTTAACTTGATCTTTTTTTTTTTTTCTCATTTGCTGTCATGAGAATACCAATTTCCTCCTAACTGTTCACTAGAAAGATATGCTTTTTCTAAATATGGCCCTTAGACTTGAACTTTCCCATTCTCTATCTGAAAAAAATGTCAGTTCCCTTAAGGAGAGCTACAAAGCTTTCTGTTCTTATGGCTTTATCTCCACATTGGCAGAAACTCTGTATTATTGTTCTGTGAATAGGGGCAGGAATCTATAGTGGTACCTCTTACAGGCAGGACTATGGACATGGAATGCATCCCTGGTCTTCTTAGCTTTTCCTTTCTTCTGAGGGTGTAGCTTCTACCTACAAGCAAGCTGAGGTGACGGTTATTGGGGTCCAGTTTTCTTGGCCTGCTATGCATGGGATAAACTGTCTGTCCTACAAGTGATATGTGGGTAAAGGCCAGACCTCTCTTCCTGGAATAGAGCTTCTGCAGTATAGAGCTAGAAAGTATAAGGAAAGTTGGTAACCAATCCTTCTGGAAAGAAACCATACCCTTATATTGAAAGCTGGGAAAAGATGGAGCCCTGTGCTATTGGCTACAGTTAGTTACTTAGAGTAGGTTCCATTTCACTGAGCTGGATGAGGTGGGGAGAATAGTTTATGGTTCAAATGTCATAAATTCTAGCTGTTCTTACTAAGATTCAATAGATTTTCTTGAATAAATTTTCCTCTATTTAATGGAAACTTTTGGAACAATTTCCACAGAATTTAAATATTTGGTTGTTTTCTTTTTTAATTATTACGGTTATTCTTATGGCAAACAGAATCCAGAGATTATCAGGTCACTAATCTCGAAGTGCTTTTTCAAATAATTTCTTTTTAGAAAGAATGTCTTAGGACTATTACAAGGATGAAAATAATAATGAGGGCTGGGATTTTGGCTCAGCGGTAGAGCACTCGCCTAGCACGGGAGGGACACAGATTCGATCCTCAGCACCACATAAAAATAAAGGCATTGTGTTGTGTCCATATACACCTAAAAATATAATAAATGTTTAAAAATTTTTTAAAAAAAGAAAATAACAATGAATTCCCATTCTAGTTCCACTTTAGACAAAAAAAAAATTTTTTTAAAGAGAGAGAGAAAGAATTTTTTTTAATATTTATTTTTTAGTTTTCGGTGGACACAACATCTTTATTTTATTTTTTTTAATGTGGTGCTGAAAATCGAACCCAGCGTCCCGCGTATGCCAGGTAAGCGCGCTATCGCTTGAGCCACATCCCCAGTCCAAGACAAAAATTTTAGCCTGCACTTTTCTTCATTTATAATGAGAACTAAACACCACTCTGATTGAAGTAAGAATCAAAAGATCATTAAAATACAGTCATGTGTCAGTAAACAAAGGGAATAATACTTTCTGAGAAATTAATCCTCAGGTTATTTGTTTTGTAGTGTGATCATCATAGAGTGCATTTACACAAACTAAGATGGCTTCAGTATCACTAGGTGATATAATCTTATGGTAGCACCATCATATATGTGGTCTATCATTGACTGAAATGTCATTATGTGGTGCATAACAATAGCATATATAAAGCACCTAACACAGAATTGACTCATAGCAGATGTGATAAATGTCACTTCTCTCCCCTTCATGCAGATGACCCTCAGTCTGGATAGCTATATGTTTACACTAGCAGAGTATCTGAATTATGGCCTATGTGTAATAAATATTGAATAGGATTTAAGATGGACTGATGAATGGAAGAATGAATGAAATGATCAGAGTGATTTCTAAGTTTACAATCTCTAATTTATCAATATAAAAAATATGGGTGATGTTCACATTTTAATGGTATAGTCTAAACAGTCTAATCAGAACTGATGCTCTCAGGGGTGGCTACATAATTAGCAGGGCAGAGTAGAGAAAGCAATATGGGGCCTTCTCTTCAAACATTATTAAGAATTTCAACATGGCAAATCATTAAACCATGTTTGGGGCTATTCCAACCATGGGGTCCTTTGTAATTACACAGGACACATAACCCATGAAACTATCCTTGCTCACCTCAGCCCTGGAGTAAGGTTCTGAAGGACTCCTCCTGCTATAATAGGTGTTATACTTTAGTTGATGGATCTGGGAGATCTTAGGAGAAGGGTACCAAGTGAAGGGCTGAAGCAGCCCCAGGTGCAGAAGACAGATGACTTAGGACTATGACCTAGGGCACTGTCTGTATACCTAGCATTTGGGAAAAATTCAATTTCTTAAAATTCCATCATAATGCAATAAAAAAGGCAGTTCACAAAATTCAACTTCATTAAGTTTGTGTTCACATTATTGCAAGGTTAGTAAACCTACACAGGCTAGCAGGTCAGGAATTCCAGGGAACCTTTTCTAAGATTCAATGGATATTGATTCTCACATCCAATTTGTTGAGAGCAATGCTGTTTGGGACTTCTAGGATTATGTCAGTCATTCCAGAAATCCTCTGATGAGAAAGGCCTGTTATGCATGCCCTGAACAGGGGAATTAGAATGCTAGCTCTCCAAAACCCACTCAGCACCCCAGAATGGAGTTGCCTGCCATTTCCCTGCTTGACTTTGACCTCTCTCCGACACATCCCTTTCTCCTCCCCAATATTCCCTAAGCATACCAACAACAATTTTGGCAAGCCCTGGTTTAACAGCAATTGTCTATCATATTATATCTTAATTCATATTACCATAGGGATTTTAATGTTTAATAATGACAGGTCTACTTACAGAAAGAGTGGCGCATTATATCATTGATTACAAGATAGTAGTTAAAAAATAATATTGTGGTTTACACTTCCGTTTTAGTTATTTTTCCCTTTTAGAGATGATCAATGGCAATGATATTCACAATTGTTGCCCTGCTTATGAGCTTATCTCTCCATTAAATTTTTTTAGGAATTTTCATTCTAAAATACTATTATATATCCATGTTTTTCAAGTTGAATGTGCAAATGAATCACTGGAGGATGTAGTTAAAATGTAGATTGCTGAGTAAATCTTGGTTGGAGAGTTTTTAATAAGCTCCCAGGTGATGCCTACTCTACTCTGAATAATATTAAATAGAAAATAGTCCTAACTAAAACCTGGCTCTTTTTTTTTTTTTTTTTTTTTTTTTTTTTTTTTTTTTTTTTTTTTTTGGTTTTAGATGGACACAATACCTTCATTTTACTTATTTATTTATTTATTTTCTAATGTGGTACTGAAGATCAAACCCAGTGCCTCACACATCCTGGGCAAGTGCTTTACCACTGAGCTACAACCCTAGCCCCCAAACCTGGCTTTTGATTGTAATCTGTAGTCCATTATTCCCTAAATTTTAAAGCAACTATCTACACCTCGGTAGTCTACACTGAGGTAGACTCTGAAGTTTGTGTGTACTTTTAAAAGGATTCTTACCAATTTCACAGGCTTTTACCTTTTGGTCTTTGAACCAAACCAAAACAAAACACAAACAAAAAAACCCCACACCGTCTGAAATTAAGAAAGGCTGTCTGCTCTTAGTATGGGAAATTCCCAAGCTTTTTCTTGTAGTTTATGACCTCTGAATTTCTCAAATATGACCCCTAGCCATTTCTTTATTTTCAGCCTTAAAGCACTGCATTCTTCCCACTTTTTTCTTTCATAAAATATGAAGCACATACTTAGGACTATGAATGTATTTAAAACTTTTTGCTTCCAAATGGTCCTCTTCTCAAGTTACTTTTAAAGCCAAATGATCTTATTAATGGTGAATACTTTTGTCCAGAGTGCAATTTAAAACAAGTAAAAAAAAAAAAAAAAAAACCAACAACAACAACAAAAAAAAACACAACAACCTCATTTTTCAAAACTCTGTAATATCTCCAGACTCAGGGCAAGCTGGAAAATCACATCACTTTATTAATACATCATTGAATAGAAATTTCACCTATCCCTTGACTTCTCTATGTGCATCACTATCACTACAGATTTATGAGGAAAACAAAAACTTCATAAAATCCAGTAAATTTACTACTAGCTGAGGGTTTCAGTACTCTAAAACTTATTTAGATGCAACAAAGTTTTACAGTAACATGTAATCAACATTTGAAGTTCCATTTAATAAAACTCATTTTAACCTTCAGCCATATAACTAGAAATTGGTAAGTCAGCATAGTGTCTCTTGATGAGAAAAAGCTTCTTTTTTTGTGAGAAAAATCTGAAATTTAGAAAGAGCTCTGTTATTAATAAATCATCAATAATTCAGAGAAAAAAAAAAAGCATTCAGCAGACAAAGTGAAGCATTTCATGCACACTCATAGTATTAAGATTTTTTTCCCTTCAATTTACAACTTCTCCTTAAAGCCCACCAACCCATAGTGATCCCCTCCTCTTCTGAAATTTTATAACATTATCAGTCCAACTCAAATAGCAATTATTTAAAGTCATCTCAGAGTCTGGGCCTGGTGGCTCACACCTGTAATCCCAGCAACTAGGGAGCCTGAGGCAAGAAGATTGCAAGTTCTTAGCAATTTAGCAAAGAACCTCTACAACTTAGACCCTGTCTCAAAATAAAAAATAAAGTAAAATAAAATAGTTTAAAAAAAAAAAAAAGGACTGAAGACGGGCGTGGTGGCCTGTAATCACAGTGGCTTAGGAGGCTGATGCAGGAGGATCGTGAGTTCAAAGCCAGCCTCAGCAATTTAAAGAAGTGCTAAGCAACTCAATGAGACTCTGTCTGTAAAGAAAATACAAAATAGGGGAATGGGGTTGTGGCTTAGTGGTAGAGCGCTCGCCTAACGTGTGAGGCACTGGGTTCTATCCTCAGCACCACATAAAAAAAAAATAAATAAACAAAATAAAGGCATTGTGTCCATCTACAACTAAAAAAAAAAAAAAAAAACTCAGTGGTCAAGTGCCCCCGAGTTCAATCCCTGGTGCCCTCTCTCTCCCAGCCAAAAAGGAATGAAGATAGAACCCATTAGTAAAGCACCCCTGGGTTTGATTCTCACTACCAAAAAAAAAAAAGTAGTATTACAGGTTATGTTTTTGCATGGATTTTGCCTCCTCCTACTAGTGCAAGAGTTCCAAGGGCAGGCTGCATGTTTTATCATTTTGGCACGTCTCCTACCTAGACCCACACTAGTAGTGTACTTCACTCTATGACCATTTTCCATCACTCTACTTTCTCCCAATCCTTTGTTTTCCCTGTAACTCTTTCAATGTTCACTAATCTAGAAGTAAACAGTATTTCATATTCTGAACATGATTCTCCTATTTTGATAAAACTAACACCACACCAAATTCCAAAATGTAGCCTTTTTGGTCAATTTTTGGAATTACTGTATTTTTCTGAAGACATCATAATCTATACAGCATCAATTGTGTACCCACAGTGAGGAGGCAAAGTTATAAAATGTAGGCCCACCAGTTAAAAACAAAGGACTTTTTTTGTTATCTACTGTCTCAATCTAAACATTATAATGTTACACAACTTACCTTTTTCAGTACAGCTTTCTGTTTATACAAAAGCAGACAAGTTATTAATAAAATAAAAAATGAAACAAAAATAAATGGTATCACAAAAAATACCATAGTTTTCATCCGTACGCCATCTAGGATTAAAAATCATACAAAAGGGAGACTGTTAGAGGCTTATATCTAATTTTTAAAAACATTTCTTCCTTTTTTTAATTGTAGTTGTATACAATATCTTTATTTTATTTATTTATTTTTATGTGGCGCTGAGGATCGAACCCAGGGCTTCGCATGTGCTAGGCAAGGGCTCTACCGCTGAGCCATAACCCCAGCCCCAGCCACAACCCCAGCCCCTTATAACTAATTTTTGAAATCAAATTATTTTATAAATAAAGTTCTAGTTAATGGTGAAGAGTTGCATTAAACCTTGCAACCCGGCAGCCCCTGCTGTGTTTGTCAGTGTATAGATGCCACAGTGGTATTTCAGTATATATCATTCCATTCATTTGTGAACTACTTGTTTATACAATTACTTTATTGAACTGTGACTTTTTTCTGGATAGTATCAAAGATAGAACCCAGGACCTTGGCATGCTAGGCAGTTACTCTATCACTGAGCACCGTCCCCTAGTCCCTGAACTGTGACTTCTTTTAATTTCAATCAGAAAAATAACTACCCTAAGTGCATTTCCTGATATGATTCTGTTTAAAATTTGACCTTGTGAATTTTCATTTAAAAATAGCACTGGGCGGGGCTGGGGATGTGGCTCAAGCTGTAGTGCCCGGGTTCGATTCTCAGCACCACATACAAACAAAGATGTTATGTCCGCCAAGAACTAAAAAATAAATATTAAAAAATTCTCTCTCTCTTAAAAAAAAAATACCACTGGGCACGGTTGTGCATGCCTTTAATTCCATCAACCCAGAAAGCTGAAGCATAAGGATTGAAAGTTTGAGGACAGCCCAGGAAACCTAGTGAGATCCTGTCTCAAAATTTAAAATAAAAAATAATAAGGAGTGGGAATTGAGCTCACTGGTAGAATGCCCTGGTGTTCAATCTCCAGTGTTAAATAAGTAAATAATAAAATATTAGTCGAGTGATTAAACAAATATGTTCTGTAAATCTTTTAACTCTCAGCAAATCAAATGTTTACTTATATCACCTGATGCTGTAAGGAGCAGGAGCTCCTCTTCAATAAAAATATATGTGTGCATGAGGAATGGAGCTAGTCTTTTTTTAACAGTAGATAAATTTTTATTCAGCCTCTTAGCTCACAGCATGAGATAAAAGAAAAACAGTTCTTCTTAATCAATATTTTACAAAGCTACAGTAAAATATTCTACACTTCAGGAATTTATAAGGGATTACATTTCTCAAAAGTTGGGATCCAGTAAACAAATTTTAACTCCTTGAATTTTCTAGGTGACCCTTTCTTTATGAAAGTAACAAGTTCTAATTACCTATATAAATTTTAGGGCCAAGTTTTATCACTGGTGCTGTCTTTAGATCTGAAATGCTGCTATTTCAATCATCATTCAGTAATTCTACCTTAAAAATGAGTTTTGCATTTGGCAGAATCTGGGCATCAGACTGTTCTTTCTTCTCATAAACCCATTCTGATTCAGTCTCCAGTATAGCCTTTTGTTCTTTACTCATAGCCAGAAGTGATTTATCTCATCCTCTGATAACTTGGACTATTCCAACCTTAAAACTTGAAGGCTTGACATTTTTCTTCTTCTTTGGACTCATTTGAATATTAGTATCAACAACAGTCCTGTCCTGTAGTGTTCTAGTGTATCAACAATGAACATCTCCCTTTTTTAGAAAAGTTGGTTTTATTCCCTGCCCCTTGTGTGTATGTGTGTGTGTGGGGGGGGGGGGGCGGGGAGCAGATACTAGAGATTGCACCCAGGGCCATGATTCCATTAAGCCACATCTCCAGCTTTTTGACACACGGTCTCTCCAAATTTACTGAGGCTGGCCTGGAACTTGAGATCCTTCTGACCCAGCCTAGGATTATCAGCATGTGCCACCACACCTGGCTATCTTTCTGTTTTAGAACAGATTCTATGAATTTGGGTGGCCCCTCATCTGGAGTCTCTTTCACACTTGCTTTCTTTTGAGTTAAGCTTCACATTTTTCACTCGCTGGAACACTTATACTTTTGGCATCACTAAAATGCTTACTTTCAAAAAGATGGTAATAGACTTTAACTAAATGTCCTTATTAGCTGTCTGGCTACAATTTCAGTGTTTCCTAGTAAATTATGCTCTTCAAGAAATGACTGTGAGCCGGGCATAGTGGTGCATGCCTGTAATCCCAGGGGCTGGGGAGGCTGAGGCAGGAGGATCGCAAGTTCAAAACCAGTCTCAGCAAAAGTGAGGTGCTAAGCAACTTCGAGAGACCCTGTCTCTAAATAAAAATACAAAATAGGGCTGGGGATGTGGTTCAATGGTTCAGTGCCCCTGAGTTCAATCCCTGGTACCAAAAAAAGTAAAAAAAAAAAAAAGAAAGAAATGACTGTGAGGGCTGGGGTTGTGGCCCAGGGGTAGAGCACTTGCCTAGCATGTGTGAGGCCCTGGGTTTAATTTTCAGAACCACATATAAATAAATAAAAATAAAAGTCCATCAACAACTAAAAAAAAAAAAAGAAAGAAAGAAAGAAAAGAAATGACTGTGAACTGTGGCTCTGCCAAAACTTGTTAAAGTCCTTCTTGTACAGATGCTTACTGCACTGCCCCCTGCAAACAGCCTCCCTCCCCATGCCTCTGCTTTTGGAGCTAATCTTTCAAGGTCATCTTCCTCCTTCTTTTTTTAATATAGTGAGGCTAGTCTCCAACTTCTTAAAAGCTACAAACACAGGCCACCATGCCAGGTTCAAGATTACATTTGTACTTTTTTTTTTTTTTAATGTTATCTCACATTTTAGAGTCTACAGGGAAAGCCAAGGTTTTTCTTTTCTGTTTTATTATTTTAGAAATGAGGTTTTAATGGTTTTGAATAGCAAGAAATCATGAGACAAACTCAAAAGGAAACAGTTTGTCCTTTCCCAACTAGAATCTCCCACTTGTTTTGGAGTAATATACGCCATGTTAAATCAAATTCAAGGCCAGCCTGGGCAACTTGATGTGACCCTGTCTCAAAATAAAATATAAAAATGTCTGGGGATGTAGCTTAGAGGAATAGTACTCTTAGGTTCAATTCCAAGTACCAAAAACAAACAAACAAAAAAATCCTAAAGAACTAAGACAACATGATACTCAAGAAATTCTTTGTTCCTAATTTCATTAAAATTCTACTAAGCCAGGTTCCTTGGTGCATGACTGTAATCCCAGCGGCTCGGGGGGCTGAGGCAAAAATATCACAGGTTTAAAGCCAGCCTCGGCAATTTAGAGAGGCCCTTAGTAATTTAACAAGACCCTGTCTCAAAATAAAATACAAAAAATGATTGGGGATATGACTCAGTGGCTGAGTACCCCTGGGTCCAATCCCTGATATTCCCCCCAAAATAAATAAACAAATAAATAAATAAATACATATTACTGATAAGATTGTGTATAAACCACACAAAAGGATATATATTTGAAGGATCTGGTTAAAAATTTGCCATATCCATTTTATACAATGCACTGACTAATGACAAAATGTCATCAGAACATAACATTACAGAGTCTCCAGATTTCTAATAGCCGTGGCAAAAATGAAAAATGTAAGATCAGAAATGTTCTTTCTGGGGCTGGGGTTGTGGCTCAGCGGTAGAGCACTGGTCTAGTATGGGCAAGGCCCTGAATTTGATTCTCGGCACCACATAAAAATAAATAAATAAAATACGGGGCTGGGGTTGTGGCTCAGAGGTAGAGCACTTGCCTAGCATGCATGAGGCCCTGGGTTGGATCCTCAGCACCACATTAAAAAATATATATATATTGCGTCCAACTATAACTAAAACATAAATATTTAAAAATAAATAAATAGGGGCTGGGGTTGTGGCTCAGTGGCAGAGCGCTTGCCTAGCATGTGTGAGGCACTGGGTTTGATTCTCAGCACCACATATAAATAAATAAAGGTCCATCAACAGCTAATAAAATATAAAATAAAGGTATTGTGTCCAGCTACAACTATGTTCTTTCGGAATCTGTATATAACTCTTGGTTAACTGAGTTCTACCCTGTCCTGCTTATTTTTTCTCTATAATCCTTAGTGATTATGTATTTGGCTTCTTTGTTTATTGCCTGTCTCCCCAACTTGGGAATAAAATGTAAATTCCACGAATGTACGGATTTCTTTACGGCTGGACATGAAATGGTTGAAAAGAATCTGACACACAATAACTGCTTAATAAGTTTGACAAATGAAAAAGAACAATACTATCACTATATTCACAGAGAGACAATAGTCAGAGATTCCACTATAGAAGGACCACATGAAAGGAGATTCATGGGCCAAGTGTGGTGGCGCACATCTGTAATCCCAGAGTCTCGGGAGGCTGAGGCAGGAGGATCTCAAATTCAAAGCCAGATTCAGCAATTTAACGAGGCCCTCAGCAACTCAGTGAGACCCTGTCACTAAATAAAATATTTAAAAAGGGCTGGGGATGTGGCTCAGTGGTTAAACACACATGGGTTCAATCTCAGTACCAAAAAAAAAAAAAAAGTATGATTTATATAGAAAGGCCAGCGTATCTGTATATGTATTTATAGCTGCATCAGTATTTATATTCCTGGAAGAGCAATGCTGAGTTGATTTCTTTCAATTTTGAACCATTATTAGTAATTTCTACTAATTAAGCTAATATATTCTGAAACACTACCATATTTTGCTTCACTTTCTAGGCTTTTTCTTTTATACTGCTATATAATTTGAATGTTCATGTCACTTTAAATTAGTATTGTAGGTGACTAGAATGTGTATTTTACCAATCATAACTTCTTGTTAGAAAAATATCTCTTAGGCATAGTACTAGACACTTGGAAATAAGTGTATGAAGACCTAGCCTTACTTTAAGATTTCTGTTCTCTTGAAATCTGAAAGCATAAGAAAATATTGATTACTATAGTCTCCTGCCCTCCCCTGACAAAAAATAATTTTTTTCTTCCCTTCCTTACATATATTTTAATTTTTTTGCTATAGTGATGATAAATATATTCTCTTTACCAACAGTTAAAAAAACAAGATTGTTGCTGGGCACAGTGGCACATGCCTGTAATCCCAGCTGCTAGGGAGGCTAAGGCAGGAGGATCATGAGTTCAAAGCCAGCCTCAGCAACAGGAGGCACTAAGCAACTCAATGAGACCCTGTCTCTAAATAAAATACAAAAGAGGGTTGGGGATGTGGCTCAGTGGTCGAGTGCCCCTGAGTTCAATCCCCGGTACCAAAAAATAACACGATCGTGCATAACAAGACTTCTATTTCTACATGAATATAGACTTTCAAGAAATCTGTGTTTGGTTGAGGTGTTTGCTAACTTTTCTTCTCCATTGATAGACTACGCAGGAGACATTGCTCTCCATAACTGCAAAATACATTGAGAGAAAATTAATTTGCTAGCAAACAGCTACAGTTAATTAGTTACTGTCATTTTAGCTCATACCTACTATCCAGCATTCTTCGTCACTCCACTCACTCCAAAGTCCATCTTCTGAGCAATAAATATTCACTTTGCTTCTTATTAAAAAGCAGAGTTGTTGGCTTTCATTTGATGTTCTCGGGATGTGGATTTCATTTTCAATTGTGGTGGTCTAAAAGCCAAGGGAAAAAAAATGAGATGTCATTATTTAATCTAATTTCAATTAGAGAAATTCCATCTGTCATTTTCAATGTGGGTTTGGCTTTTTTTTTTTAAGAAAATATATGCATCGAAAGAACAGAAAGGTATAATCCTAGCAGTGATTATCTCTCTGTATGGTGGGGTTTTTTCAATCTTTTTTTTCTTCCCTTCCTTATCTATATTTTAATTTTTTTGCTAAAGTGATGATAAAGACAGCATGTGTGAGAGGGCAAAATTCCTTGGTGTTTATAATGCCCATTATAATAGACTAGTGTGAAATCTCCCTGTTCCTATAAACTGGAAGATGCTATATCCACTGAGTTTCCAAAAGACAGAACCATCATGTAAATGTGGTTTCTATGGAAACTATAGAGTTCATATACATAAGCTGGTTTTTTTTTCCCTCTTGTTCTTACTCCATAAGACATGTGTAATAGTGCTTGGATTGACATGAAACTATCATTGCAGATACAAGAATATCTCAAATTGGGTGATTTCACAGGGGAAAAAAAAAAACACTAAAGTAATTACTTCAATTTTGCATTTCTAAGAGCTGAAAGCTTTTCCCATCCAAAATAACAGTTTTTCATTTGTTGTAACTTATCATAATGTAGTGTAGATTAAGTCAACTGGGAATCATATCTTGATTACAGTTCTAGCTGTGTAATTTGATTATGAAGTCAATTCACCTCTCTGGGACCTGTAAGTCAATTCAACAACTAGTTTTCTCCTTTGTATACGAAATGAATTAATTAGAATTAGTGGCTTACTTTTTCCCACCACTCTCTAAGTTGGAAACCATGAATAAAATTAGCATATAACAATGTGGGGTTAAACAACAAATACCACATTGTTGATGCTGTTTGGTAGTTTGTCTTAGAACTCTTCCCTACTTCCCCTGTGCTAAGCCCCTCTTCCCTGGTTAAACCAGTCCCTTAGAGTAGTGCCATATTCTAATTTTGACCTCATGGTTTTTCCTCAAGAATTGTTTTTGTGCTGGGCATGGTGACACACTCTGGGGCAGGAGGATATGAGTTCAAAGCCATCCTCAGCAACTTGGCAAGACATTGTCTCTAAATAAAATATAAAAAAGGCTGGGGATGTGGCTCATTAGTTAAGCCCCTCTGAGTTCAATCCCTGGTCCCCCCCAAAATAATTGGTTTTTTGTCTGTGTTGGGTTTTTTTGTTTGTTTATTTTTATCTGAGGCCTCTTCACAATCCATTTTAGTCCCTTGGTAACTTTCATTTATTGATTAAAAATTGGAAACAAGTGACTAGATTATCTCCAAAATCCAATATTGTTTTAAAATCAGTATGACTGATTATGCTTTCAGACTGGAAACATCTTTATTTTGTCCACTAGATTTGAGTTTCTGGAAATTAAACTAAGATACATGTCATGTTTCATTCTTTTTGTGGCTAGCAAATGATTTGTGTTCTCAAGTGTCCTAATTTATGTAAAAAAATGCTATGTTTTGACTTTCCTAAATAAATTCAATGTTCGTACCATCCAGGAAGTTTCATCTCCTGTGAGCACAACTTCATAAATGAAACACTTAGCTGGAATGGGTCCTTTAGGTATGCTCCATTTCAGGTTAATTTCAAATATATTCTTCACAGTAAGATTAAGATAGTCTGGTGGCAAAGGTTTAACTGAAAAGCAGAAGGAAACCATTTTACCATGGAGGTTGTTAAAATTAGAACCTTATCCAAAGGTGGGGACATCTAGTATCAGAAACTTCCAGGGTTAAAGGAGGTGGCTCAAGATTATTTATTGCCTATGATATGAATTAAAATCATAATCACTTGCCAATCAAAATGAGTTTATTGAGAAACTTGGCTATTTTGGAACTCATTTTTTAAATATATCTTATGCTGATAAATACTTAAACCCAAGAGAAAAGTTAGAAGATCCAAACCATTCTGATAATTTTCCCAGTTTGTAGCTTAAGAAACAATAACCACAACCAGTACTACCACAACTCGTACTAAATGCTAACCCCTTATGTTGTGCTTATGACAATCAGACAGTGTAACAGGGATGCTGCAACATGATCTCATTCATGTCTCACATTAAATCTATGAGGTAGTCACCTATTATTTTCATTTTACTAATATGGGAATTGAAACACATGTTAAAAAAAACTTGCCCAAAGTTGCACAACTAGAAAGTGGTTGATTCAACATTCAAACCTACTTGTGGCTGACTCTAGAACCTGTCACTCTTTTCACTGTTAGAACGGAGAACAGACTCAGAAAATAGCCAACCATTTGCATATCATGGCCTGGGAATAAGAGATTCCATAATTACTCTGTCACTCACACTGAACCAAGTACCATATGCAAATTCTTTGATGCTGGGAAATAAATTATGATTTCTAAATGAAAATGATGCTGTATACTTCATTCCATTTCCTGTTTTCCATATGTCCTCATACACTAGACTGCCTTGATTTTTCTGGCTTTGCACTTCCATGAGTCTCTTCATCTCTCTTTCTCTCATTCCCTATCTGCCTCTATCTCTCTCTCCCTCAAGTGGTTGGGAAAAAAAAAAAAAAGAAGAAGAATTTGAAGTTGTTTGTTTATATCACCTATATTTTGAAGTTGGAAAATGAAATAGCTGGATCTGATAGGCTTGGATTCTGATGATCCATTAACACAGACAAAGAAATCTTTATAGTCTGATGACTCCAAAGAGGGAAAAGTGCATCCAACATTTACTCCATTAGACTTGATATAATCGACACACTGTGATGTATGTTCCAAGCCCTCATACCTGTAAAAAGAAGTATTGCAAGAATTGTGTTTAACAGTACCTGCTAGTGTCATGGTGCTTCATTTTCAATTATCTTAAAAATCCTTGTGAATAAAAAAAAAACATTTAATAACAAAATATTTAGCACCTAGTATATGCTGCATGCTACAAGTACTAAGGATTCAACAGTAGGGAAAGCAGATATAGACTATAATTTCATGGAGCTTACAATCTGATGGTAGTCTGCACACAATCTCAAAGATGAAACGAGGATTCTTACTCATGTAATTACATCATGTTGACTCACCAACAGGATTTGAGAATCAAAGAATAAGATTCCTACTAAGAAATCCTAGGGTTTATATAAATAATCATGCATGATGCTGCCTTTTTAATATTTTACTTGGAAAATTATTGTGAAAGAAAGCACATCAAAAAGTAGACTTACAAAATATTGTTTTTTTTAATAAAATGAATGAAAATCCTCTGAGTATACAAAACACATTAAGATATAAATCTCAGAAAGTCAACTGTGGGTGGGGGGAAGAAAAGGAGAAGTTGTTTGGCAAGTACATGTCTAATTTTCCCATTCTCCTAAACAAGAAATGTCATTTAAAGTTAACCTCATTCCGGTAATACTGTTAATGGGAATTAGGAGTGGGCGGTTCCATACTGATTTCTAAAGCAATAAATGCCTGGTTTATCTTCCTAAAAAATAGCTTGCAATGCAAAATGTGACATTTGCTTTAAAAGCAGTCAAAGTCTGTTTTGAAATTGGGCCAAGATAGAAACTGATAAGATGATAGTGAAAAGAGCTTGACTCTACTAAATTAATTTTATGCCAAATATTGACTTCAGGCAGAGTTTGCAAAATTGTAGTCTTATGATTAGTTCACCTGATTAGAGTTTGGAAGACTTGAATTTTTACAGACTTACTTTGTGCCAGTGGAGAAGCCCAGGCCACCCACTTTTCCCCACTCTCTAAAATGTTAGTATTTATTCCCCCCATTCCACTAAGTGAAGTTAAATTTGCATTGAACATGACCCATTGCATTCAAGAGAGTAGTTCCTTTGTCTTATTCATACTTTTATCTTGGAACTCAGTAGATGCTTAATATTTGTTGAATTAAGAACAAATAATTTAGACCTTCAAAAGTTACCCATCCACTTCTAGGTGAGGAAACTGAGGCCCCCAAAGGGGAAATTATGCACTCAAGGCCAACAAGTTAAATGATGCCAGAGCCGGGATTAGAATCTAGTTCTCAGGAGTATTAATAATTTATACCTAGTCATGCATACAGTTTTCTAAAGAAAGATGTCATGATAATTTGAACCTAAAGCTCACAAACAGCATCATTGTGTCCTCTCTTGATTTTATTTTATTTAGTAAATGCATAAGTTTTGGTACTTACCTACCAATTTACCAATGCTATCATTTGTTTCATTCATTTATTTAATATGTAATGCTAATCTCCTGTGAGCATAGCACTCTGGAGATGGTCAAAAGAAATATAAGAAACAATTTATGCCCACCAACTCCAAAAAGTTGAAGAGACAAAGCACACATGCACAATTTTATTTATTTTTTTTTAGAGAGAAATTTTTTAATATTTATTTTTTAGTTTTCGGCGGACACAACATCTTTGTTTGTATGTGGTGTTGAGGATCGAACCCGGGCCGCATGCATGCCAGGCCAGCGCGCTACCACTTGAGCCACATCCCCAGCCCATGCACAATTTTAAATACCATCTAAACAATAAATAATTGAGAGCTATAAAAAGTAATAGTTCAAAGAAAAAAAACCTGAACAGAAGTTGACATGATCAATAAAATGTCCATGAAATTGGAGAGTAGACTGGTTTTGAAGGATGAATAAGAGTTGGTAAAAGAGAGAGCCAGAGGGCATCCCAGATGGCAACACATATATAGGCATAAAAGGGCATAAACTCAGGTGAGAAAACAATGTAGAGATGGATCTAAATGGAGTGGTACATTTGCATTGGTGATAATAGAAAGTACTATTGGAAAGGCAGTGACACAAGGAAGCAGAGACTTGAATGGCAGGCTAGAATTCACCCTGGGGGCAATCTGTAGCTCCCAGAGGTTTTTGAACACAGGGGTGGCATATAAAAATGGCCATGTAAGAAGATAAAGCTGGCTACAGTGTGCAGAACGAACAGCAAGGAGTCAGACTGGAAGGGGAGGGATTGGAAGCAGAGCCATCATCATTTGGGAGGCTATGACAATCAACCAGATGTGAAATGAGGGGAGACTAAAGTGAGCTTCTTACGATAGAGATGGGGAATGAAAAATAGATGTGCAACTTTGCAAAGGAGTATCAGTACCTGGGATCGTGCTACTATGAAACAAGCAAGGAAAGAAGGAAACAGAAGAGTTAAGATGGCTTTAAGTTTAAAAGCCTCAGTGACAGTTAACAAAGGTAAGGAGCCAGAAAATGGATACTGTTTAATAACTAATTTTTAAAGGGGCAAGAATACAGGGAGTGGTGGTGCATGCCTATAAACCCAGTGTCTCAGGAGGCTGAGGCAGGAGGATCATGAGTTCAAAGCCAGCAACTTAGTGAGGCACTAAGCACCTCAGTAAGACCCTGTCTCTAAACGTAAAAAAGGGCTGGGGATGTAGCTCAATGGTTAAGTTCAATCCCTGGTACCCCCCTCCAAAAAAAAGAGTAAAATAAAAAGGCAAGAATACAAAATACACCCAAATGTTTTAGATTATAGCTCTATCTATCTAAAGGATACAAAATTTAATCAAGTATAAAAACAACATTCTATGATCTCACTCATAGAATGCCTTATAGAATCTGCAGCCCAAACCCACTTACTCCCATTGAAAACCCCAAGTAAATTTTTAGGGGGGAGGTACTGAGGATTGAACTTAGGGGCACTCGACCACTGAGCCACATCCCCAGCCCTATTATTTTGTATTTTATTTAGAGACAGGGTCTCACTGAGTTGCTCAGCACCTCACTTTTGCTGAGGTTGGCTTTGAACTCGCGATCCTCCTGCCTCATCCTCTTGAGCCACAGGGATTACAGGTATGTGCCACCATGCCAGGCAAAAACTCCAAGTAATTATAATCAACACCATCAGAAATACAAATCTGATAAATACAGTGAACTTAATTTAGTGGAAATATAGTAAAACATATTGTGGACTGATTTGGTAGATATTTTTCTAACATGGAATTCCAACTATAAAAATACTTACCAATAAAACAAGGTGTAATTGGTATCCAAATGTGCACCTATGCCAGGTTTCCAAGAACAGATTAAATATTGCCAGTTGTAATATACACAAACCATGTCCTGAATTTTAGTTTCCAGACTTCCTAAGAAATGAAAGAACTATGAATACTTCAAAGACATGATAATGAATCATTTGCAAATTCATTATGAAATTTTATTTCACTTCCTTTGGCCTCACTACTTCATTTAGCAATCAACATAATGGGAATATTTTGAGAGGAAGTTATTGGAACTCACTGACACTAACAGATGCCAAAATATTAAATTGATAATTCTATGATGCTGTGAGGAGTTGAGCAAATACACATTTACTAACACGACCCCCATACTGGCGATTGTATTAATGTATTAAGATGTAGGGGTTTTTTTTGGGGGGGTACCAGGGATTGAACTCAGGGGCACTCAACCACTGAGCCACATCCCCAGCCGTATTTTGTATTTTTATTTAGAGACAGGGTCTCATTGAGTTGCTTAGCATCTCGCTTTTGCTGAGGTTGGCTTTGAACTTTCAATCCTCCTGCTGCAGCCTCCTGAGCTGCTGGGATTACAGGCGTGTGCCACCAACACCCAGCAAGATATAGGTTTTTGTCAAACATCTTTACTGAATTAAATGATTCAGAAAGGCATGTCACTCGCTACTAAGAAGGATTCTATTTTGTGCCACACTGTCACTGGATCTATCATATATACGTTCTGGTGCCCAAGATTTAAGGAAGTTATCCCCTACGTAGATTGTTCTGGTAACATTAAATGTAAAAAGGGAGCCTTGTTTTAACCTTGTTCTGATGTCCAATAAGTAGCTTCTGACCATGAACTTTGCACTTCTGATCCATTTGTGCATTGCCTTGACAAAAGTGTGTGTATCTTTGCTTCAATCCCTTGGTTAAGATCAAACCCATCTTTATAATACAGGTTCTTAGTAATGATGGTCTGTTTGATAAAAAGACAAGACAAAGTCAAACTTAGAAACAGCCATGGTATAGTGAATCACACTAATAAAACTGAGAGGTTATTGATACCCTGGAAAGTTCCCAACATCTAAGATACTCCTGGTGATTATCTCCTCTGTTGCTCCAGAAATATTTGCAGCAGAGATCACCTCTGTATATCATATCATTTGATAAGATTATTTGAATCTTAGCATCTAATTCAAAACAAAAACAAAAACTTCTGGAAGAGAAAAAAGGTTCTATGTCTGTAACCAGCTTGGAACCAATTTGAGGAATTTCACATACCATATGTACATTACATGGCAAATGATTTAACCCTTGACCCTTCCAATATAATATGAAGCCTTCAGGAATCACATAAAGTAAAATCCTGGAGGTAGCTGAAGAAAGATGGACAAATTGTAAGATCCTGGAGGATGAAAATCATATATTATTTAATTCTTATATTCCTGATATCTTACAGAGTGGCTAGTTCAAAAAGTTGCTAAATAAATGTTTATTTGAATTGTCCCTTGAAACTACCTAGCTGAATTATGGAAGTAACAGGATGCTTTCTACCACAGGAATTTTCAAATGAACGTGATTGCCAAGGAAGTAAGTAGTTCATAATTCAATCAACTTTCATTAAGAACTTACTACAATACATGCAAAGAACCAAGTTGTGTTTGGTGGGGCACAACTTGGAGTCAAGTTGCTTGACTCCTACAGAGAAAAAAACCCACAATACAGTAGCATATATAAAACCCATGTCTAAATCTATAAGTACTATGGATAAATATGGTCTGAGTGTATCCCCCAGGGGGTTCATGTGTTTGAAGCTTGGTCCTCAGTGTGACAATGTTGGGAGGTGGTGGAAACTTTGAAAGGCAGAGTGTAGCAGAAGGTGATTAGGTTATTGGGGGCACTGCCCTCAGAAGAAAATAATGTAATTCTCTTAAGATGCCAATTAATTCCTATAAGAGTTTCATATTATAAAATGTTAAGACTGGTCCCTTCTCACTCTCTGGCTTCCTATCTCACCATGTGATCCCTCCCTTTCACACATGCTTCCACTGTAATGCCATCAGCCTTTAGTCCCTCAACAGAGACTGAACAAATGGGCCACACAATCTTAGACCTTCATCCTCCACCACTATGAGCCAAATAAACCTTTTTTTTTCATTATATATCACCCAGCCTCAGGCATTTTATTATAGCAATGGAAAATGGACTAAAATAATAAGTAATTATAAAATATGGTGAAACAAGTGCTCTTCCAGTTCATATTCCATGGGACCAAGTATCTTTTTTCCTGTATCTCCAGTGGTAGTCTTAACAGTAGATGGGGCGAAAACATATTTAGCAGGATAGGAGATATACACAGACATGGTAGTTTGTTTTATACTAATTAGAACTATTGCAATATGAGAATTAGAGTAGACACAGTAGTCAGAAGAATCACAAGAAAATACCTAATGATAACTCTAATATTGTAAGTACATGCTTTACTTACTTTCCATCTTTTGCTATTGATGTTTCTGTACTGTAATTCGTATTCTATTGTGCATTCCTTAAAATTTTCCAGAGCCAGTGGAGGTTGCCATTGTAAATAAAGATAACCTAAATATCCAGGATCCACTATCACAAAATCCTGAGGAGGATTAACTAAAATAAAATCAATAAAATATTTTAACTTTTTCTTTGTATTTTATGACAAAGATTAGTAAATACAGATTATCTCTAAATGTCCATCAATGATAAATAGATAGACAAAATAGAGTACATCTACGCAATATTATTATATTATTTAGCCACAAAAAGGAGTGAAGTACTAACACATGCTGCAACATGGAAGAATTTATATTTTGCTAAGCGAAAGAAGCCAGTCACAAAAGACCATATATTCTATAATTCTATTCATATAAAATATTTAGAATGGGAAAATCCATAGACATAATAGATGAGTGGTTGTCAGAGGCTACAGGGAGCGGAGAATATAATGTGATTGTTTAAGGAGTTTCTTCAAAAATATTCTGGAATTTGATAGTGGTAGTTATTTCATAACTTTGTGAATGTACTAAAAACTACTATATAGTATTTTTGAAAAAGGTGAGTTTTATGTTATATAAATTATATCTCAATCTAGATTACTGCTACATCGTTGTTCTCTCTTTTAACAAATCACGTAAGTGCCAGGCGCAATGGCACATGATTGTAATCCCAGCGGCTTGGGAGGCTGAGATGGGAGGATCATGAACTCAAAGCCAGCCTCAGAAAAAGGTGCTAAGCAACTCATTGAGATCCTGTCTGTAAATTAAATACAAAATAGGGCTGGGGATGTGGCTCAGTGGTCAAGTGTCCCTAAATTCAATCCCCAGAACCCTCCCCCGCCAAAAAAAAAAGAGAAATCACAAAAGCAAAATGTGACCTTGGTGGGTGGCATTAGTGGAATATTGATGAGCATAGCTGCTTTCCAAAATGTAACTTTGATTCTCTGGAAACTGTTTGTACAGAAATAAAAAATTCAACGTGGAGGGCTGGGGCTTCAGCTCAGTGGTAGAGCACCTGGTTTGCACGTGTGAGGCACCTGGTTCCATCCGGCAGCACCACGTAAAAATAAATAAATAAATAAATATATTGTGTTCATCTACAACTTATAAAACAAAAAAATTCAACATAGAGTTTTCCCAGTCATGTACACAAGAACTTGGTCTAGGATGGGAGAATTTTATTATATAAATGTCTCTAATAGCAATAACTAATTAGTATTAATTCAGTGTTTAGTATACACATAAAATATTGTGGCAAACACAAAAAAGAGGAATGGAAAAATATAAAATATGTCTTCTATGGATAAGTGCCTTAGAATTTGGAGAACAGATCTTATTGCCACTTTCCGGTTAATTGAATCCTCCAACCTAATGAAATTTCTGAGTTGTCCCAAAAAATCTAGTAGCACCATAATAGTGCCCTCATGTTACCTTTTTGCTAATTATTTCCTCTCATTTCTGCCACATTATCATTTTAATTCCTCACTTTATAATCCATATCTAGGTGACGAAATGAATTCACAGAAAGAAATTGTTGCACGGATTATGATGTGACCTGGGACCCGCCCCCCCAGGTACCTATAAAGAAGATCTCTATGGAGGATGAAATGACAATCCTGTTGTTTCGATCCTTATGGCTAGAAATCTTCATCAAGTGCATTATTCTAATTATCTTTGTCATTAAACATGATTGAAAAGTTCTATAATTATTTCTACATTTCACTTTAAATTGTTATATTCTTATTTATCTAATTTTCATAAAAGTAAGGAGAATTATCACGGAAAGATTTGAGTTGGTTAAATATCAGGCAATAAGTTTTCAGATATCCAACCTTCTTTTTTTTTTTTTTTTTAGGAAAGACTATACAAGAGGTATGGAAAGTGCTTTTTTTGTTGTTGTTTGTTTGGTTTATTTTGTTATTCCTGAGATAATTTTTTGAGGGTACTAGAGATTGAACCTAGGGGTGTTTAACCACTGATTCTCACCCCCAGCCCATTTTATCTATCTATCTATCTATTTATTTATTATTTATCTATTATTTTGTGCTGGGTATTGAACCCAGGGCCTTGTGATTTGAGACAAGTACTCTGCCAACTGAGCTATATCCCCAGCCCATTTTTTATTTTGAGACAGGGCCTCACTAAATTGCTGAGGCTGGCTTTGAACTGGTAATCTTCCTGCCTCAGTCTCCCAAGCTGCTAGGATTACAGGTATGCACCACATGCCTGGTTTATTTCTTATTTTGCTTAGGGCCTCAAGTTTCTGAGGGATTCTTGGAATTTGTAATCCTCTGGTCTTAGCCTCCTGAGTAGCTGGGATTACAACTGTGGGCCACCACACCTGGCTTCCTGAAATAATTTTTAAGAACAATCCACCTACCAGTTATGCACTTCCATAAGGTAGATTGAAAAGACAGTTAATATCCCTAATTTTAAGACTACTCCATTAACATCGATTTCATTTGTTGTTTTACCTTTTATTTCTGTGCTTGAAGAGAAAGTAGAGCTAAATTCTGTGCAAATTAGAAAGATAAATAGGCATCTAAGATCCAAACAAATGAAAGCCATTTCTCTAAGATTTAGTATCTTGAAATCTTCTCTCTAGGAAAGAAAATTACAAAACTGAAATATTTTACTACAAATAACAAAGTGAATTAATGTGATGAACAATACTTTTGGGAGCTCTCTGTGTGCTTTCTACCAAGAATTGGGAAATCTGCCCCACTTGAGCTGTGGAAATAGAAATAATCAAGTCTGTCACAAGTGGAATCAGAATGGGAGAATTCTGGTCTCATCTTTCTAATAAGAGTAAAAACAAAGCAAAACAAACCCAAGAAGACCTTCAACCCCTCACCCATACACATTCACACTTTCTACATGCTTTGGACATTTTAAGATGACTTCAAATAGCCTTCATCATGAAGGAGTCAGGCCCACCAGAGCATTTTTATTGGTGCATGGGGCAGGGGAGCAGGTACAACATTAGTCTCCATAGCAATCATCTGCCCAGCAACATAGAAAACATACTGACACTCTTCTGAGAAAAAAAAAAAAAACATTGGAAGCTGACTACTGAGAAAGCCTTAGATAATTTTGCTGTATTTCTTCATAACTATTAAATCATCATCTTCTTCTCTCACACTTGTCCCACTTCTACCTTTGTCTCCTGGATCAGGAGATAACATCACCATCCTCCCAGTTTTCTGAATCAGTAACTTGAAAGTCTCCCTCAAATCCTTGCACACCATTAGCACTATTACTTTCTCACTTGAGTATCTTACCGTCAAAGATCTCCTTGTCCAGTCTTTCCTGCCTCCAGCCCCTTGTCCACACAACCTACAGAAAGGATGGTCTTTCTAAAGGGCAAATGTAAGCTTATTGCCTTTTTTTTTTTTTTGGTGCTGGGGATTGAACCCAGGGCCTTGAGCATGTGAGGCAAGCACTCTACCAACTGAGCTATATCCACAGCCCTTATTACCTCTTTTTAGAAAGTATAACATTTCACTGTCACAGAATACAAGATAATCATTATTTTATCCTTGAAGAATACTGTTTCTGTGATCAAAATGTAAAGGATTCATGCCTACAAATACTTACTTAATAAAATTGCCCAAGATTATACAGCAAATTAGTAATAGAGTTGGATGTACAACAGAGAGCCTATGATTCCCAGCATGGTATACTTTCACCTTATTATGTTGGGCCCAAATGCTTGGCTCACTGTTATAAAAGCTTTCCTCTGGGACCACAGTGTTTAAGTCTTCCTTCAATTAGCTAATCAGACTGAAGCAACACTATGCTATTGTTTTTTTTATTCTAAGCCTCATAAAAGCACAAGAGGATTCCATTTTTCTTACTGAGATTCAACAAATATTCCTCTCCTCATTTCCTCCTTCCCCATTCACTAGCCCCTAGCTGCCCACTAATTCATCTGTAAGTACTAGGTAGAGTTGGTTACCAAAAGATTACAGCTCTTCCCCAGAGCTACTCCCAGAGATTAAGATGAACACACTGGTTTCTGTTGGGCTCAAGGCATTAAATTGGGCAAAGAAATGTTTCCATGTCCTGTAAGGACTAATATAGTCAAGTTTCCCTTAAAATGCTATCAAAGAGAGCCTAACCAAGCTCTCTCTCCTCTCTCCAGCTGTTCTTAAAATTTTCATAGCTCTGCATAATGTACAGCATAAACGCTAAGTAGAGAGTTAAAAAGTCATTTGCTTCTGTTTTATAGAGGCCAGTGAAATCTGATTACAACTATTAAAAAGCATTTCCTGGATCGACTCAACACATTAAAGCATACAAAACAGAAAAGCTGGCTTCTGGAGTCCTTCATAGAAAGATCCACAAAAGGAGCTCCTGAGTTACATCTAGGGTCCAACCTAGACTTTCCCAAATGAGCTCATGTAAATCCTATCATTGGCTTCTGAGTTCTAGGGTTGTCACTAGTACAGTGAGGGGCTTTATATATTGTATGGTTACCAGGAAAACTTGAATCTTCTCAGGGAGCAAGGGAGGTAGACCTGAAGACAAAGGGAAGATGGGGAAGGAAATGCAGACATCTGAGATTTGAAAAGTTTCTGGTATACTCTATACCTCCCTGTCCACACTTAAGAACCACTTATCTGGTCTTAACTGTTTATTTTTTAAAATGAGGAAATAGGGCTGGGGTTGTGGCTCAGCAGTAGAGCGCTGGCCTAGCACATGCAAGGCCCTGGGTTCGATCCTCAGCACCACATAAAAATAAATAAATAAAATAAAGGTATTGTGTCCAACTACAACTAAAAAATAAATATTAAAAAAAATGAGGAAATAACAACCAGAGATGTCCAAACTCACATAACTTATGGTGCAGAGCTAGGACTGAAAACCAGGTCTCTTGAACCCTTTGCACTAAGAATGAATAAATTTTCTTGTCCTGAGTCTGTCCTAATTTACAAAAAGCATCCTTCATCCAACCTTCCTCAACCTGCTGTCACCACACAAACCATCAACCAGACCACCCAGATTTATTATCATGACACTTCTGGCACATGAGTAATTCAATATATATGGATTGAATACTTTCTTTTTGCCACATACTATTCCAGATAAATCTTGCATAAGGTACGAGATTGAATGGCAACAGTCAAAATATCTATAATAATAATAATAATACCTTCTGCCATTTATTCAGCATTCACAGCATCCCAAGAACTGTTCAGTGCTAAGCACTATACACATATTAACTCAGACAACACCATATAATGTTCAGTCAGCCTTGGACATTATGGCGCAATTTTTAGTTTCATCTTAAAGACCAGGAATTGAGACATAGAGAAGGTAAACAACTTCTGTCAAGTCACACACACCATAAATGAGGAGGTTTGGATCTGAATCTAGACTAGTGCCAGAGCCCTTGATGGCCATCACTACACGGGGCTAAATATGAAGAGTAGACTTCTATTTTCAACATACTCAGTTTCACAAAACACTATTGCTGACAGCTTCCCAATGGCAATGTCTTTTGGAACGGCAAACCTAAAGCAATTTCCTCTTTTCAGCCTTGCTTTCCCACTTCTTCAAAGTCACGTAGGTTAATCTCCTCACAGAAGACTTAGCTGGGTCAGGGAGGTATAGCCGTAGTAAAGTGTTTGCCTAGCTTGTGAGAGGCCCTGAGTTCCATTCTTAGCAGTACCCCAAAAAAAAAAAAATTGGCCGGATAATCCTTGCATTATTGGAGAAACTCCAGGTACTTACCAATACTATGGTTTCTCAAGAAGTGGATTATCATAAGCAGTTATCACAGGCTCTCCTTTTCTTTCCTCTCCACTTCAGAGACATTCATTAGAATCTCTACTATTTTTCTTCTTGTTTGATAACCAAGCACATTGAAAAAATTAGATAGGTGTTCCTGAAATAGCCAGAGGGCCAAAACATAGATACCACAAGTTATAAGATGAGGAGGTTATGGGTGGTGCTAAAAGCCATCTAAAGCAAATTTAGAATCACCGCAAGGTGTTGCAAAAGTTGACAGGACTAATTATTCTTTGGATAAAGTAACAGATTTATGGCCGAGGAGCTTCTTATAATCAAAGGCACAGTGGTGCACACTGCCTCAGCTGCTATGCTTCGAAGCAAATTACATCTCAATTTGCATGTATAAAATGGAGGTAATGACACAAGCCTGGCATGGGGTGTCTTAAAGATTAAGTATGTGAAACTGCTTTGAGAACAGTAGATTACTCTATATACTTAAGGGTTTGCTTCTGAGAACTTTGTCACTAAGTAAAACTTGAAAATAAGCTTCAACCTACATATTTGTTCCTAACAATTCAGGTTTTATATTCTACTGTTGATAACTAGGCACTTACAATTAATCCTCAATTTCTACCATCCTTGCTGACCTATTATTCTGCATTTATTAATCTTTGTCTTAATAACAATAATTTCTTGCATTTGTCGAGCTTTGTATAATTTATAAAGAACTTGTTGAATTCTGTTAATAAATCTGAACATGCATAAAATTGTTATTGAATATTTACAAAATGTAAAACTAGGTCTTAGAGAGATTATCGGACTAGTACAGATTCTCACAGCTGGTAAAATCCATACAAAAAGGAAAGGAAAGAGAAATAAGGCACAGAAAAATGTACTAAGGGTAATAATGTATAATACACCTTTTTTTTTTTTTTTGGTAGAGAGGATTGAACCCAGGGGTACTCTACAACTGAGCCACATGCTCAGACCTTTTTATTTTTTATTTTGAGACAGGGTCTTGTGAAGTTGCTTAGGGCCTCACTAAGTTTGCTGAGGTTGGCTTTGAACTTTCTATCCTCCTACCTCAGCCTCTCACCACACTGGGATTATAGGCATGCACCTCCATGCCTGGCAATATGCTTTTTTTTTTTTTAAGAAAAATTTCTTCTCTATATTGTCAAAAGAGAAGAAGAAGGAGGAGAAGGGGAAGGAGGAGAAGGAGGAAGAGAAGTTGTTTTCTCTGAAGTATCTGAAATAATCATAGGCTTTTGAATTTATTCTATTTTAAAGGAAATGACTAAGTGGCAGAAATAAATAATTATTTATTAGAAAATGATGAATGAAATTTTGCAAAGTCACTAAAGTGATTTCTTTAAAAAGGGGGGGCACATAAACCAGGAGCAATGGCATATGCCTCCAGCCCCAGCTTCTGGGGGGCTGAGGCAAAAGGATCACAAGTTTGAGGCCAGCCTGGGTAACTCAGTGGGACCCTGTCTCAAAAATAAAAATAAAAAGGGTTGGAAATGTAACTCAGTGGTAAAACTCCCCTGAGTTCCATCCCCAGTACCACACACAAATGAATAAAAATTAAAATGACATGGGCATGATTTTCTGTTACTTTTAAGTAATAAAAAAATAATCAGTGTTACAAAATTTGATACTTTCCATTCACACTTTTTAAAGTACCTAAAAATATCAACTAAAACATTTAGAATAGGGATTGGGGAGAAAAGAAATTAGGATAATAGATGTTGAGAGCCACAGCCGAAGGGGCCCCAGCAAACTTTCAGACTGCCGGCTGATGATTGGCTCACAGCGGCCCCAGCAACTTC